TCTTGTGATTGTAAGTATAGTCACCTATATTTTCTTCTAATATGCATATAATTATTTTTCATTTGACTCTTGAACGCATTGTTTGTTTTGTCTGAAATGACCAACAAATTGTCCTACATAATTTATTGAATAACAACAATAATAACTACCATTTATTGGGTGACTATTATGTGCTATTTATTGTTCTCCAGTAGTTTATATATATTAAATAATTTAGTTCTCATAATAACCTTATGAGGTCAGTACTTTTATCCCCTTTCTACAGATGAGGAAACTGAGACACAGGAGAGATTTAGTAATTTGTCCAAGGTTACTATATCAACCTGGGTCCAACTCAGAGAGAGTAACCATGCAGTAGTTTAAATAGGAGAAATTTAATAGAAAGAATTATTAAACAGTGATAGGAGAGTAACTATATAAAGATGGAAAGAGAACTCAAAGTGTGTCTTAAGGCGGAGGCAGAATACCCAAGTAAGGATAAACTTGGAAGGGGGTTCAGACCTTGTTGAAGAAAGTGTGGTTACATCCCACTGTTTGGCAGAGAAGTTATTGGGTCACCCATGCCACACTCACTGTGAGAGCAGGAACAATCCTGGGGGACACAGGCGAGCTCATGCTGGTAGGTGGGCACACAGAGGTCAGGAAGCCATGGGAATTAAACCTCTGTTGTACAGGGTAAAGATTGGGCTTTTGGCTCACTAGAGAGCTATCCGCATGGGACACTTTGCCATGTGTGCCTGGGGACTGAGGAGAAGGTGTGGGGATCAGTGACTTGAGCTAGCCACAGTACTGTTATTTCTGGGGCTTTCAGCTATGCTGCTGTGGCCTGAATCAGGAGCTGGGGAAAACATGTGGTGGCCAAGTGCTGGAGAAAGCTGCATCCTGCAGGCTCTTAGTATTGGAGAATACCATGTGGGCCAACTAGTGGAGAAAAACTGGTGCTCTCTAGGAGCCTGGCTTGTGTAAGTCACACTTTTTTCCTCCTGTAGTGTGTCTCCAGTGCCCTCTACTGACAAAGCTTACCAGTGTGTCAGCTGGCAAAGAAAACATATTTAAAAGGCCCATATCCATTTTCACAGATCAGGCAACAAAGGGTGAATTTGTAACTGAGAGGCAATAAATTGATAGCAGGTACAGTTATAAAACAGTCTGATTCCCATCACTCTGTGTTCTTTCTACTTCTCATATGTAGTCTATCCTTTTCCTACTCATTTGAAATACTATCTATATTATGCATTAGATATCTAAGTTTACATATGTCTATGTCTGAACTTTAGCTTTATTCTATTCCACTGATATATTTGTCTATTTTATATCCAAACCACACTGTTTTAATCGAATAGCTTTTAATAAGAAATGGTATCTTGTAGGGTGAATACCTCCTCATTGTTTTCCAAAGTTTTCTCTTCCTGATGAATTTAAGAGTCAGCTTGTCATACATAATAGAAATCCTTTTGAAGTTTTGATGGAGAATATATAGATTTGAATTAATGTTAATTTGGCAGTTATTTGGCAATGATACAGTATTGAATCATTGAATACTAAATATACAGAAATGTATTTTAAGAGTTAGTACAGAGATCTGAGCTTTTCCTTCCTTTGCTATGTCAACTTTTTTTGTGTGTGTGACAGAAGTTTTTTGTATTTAGCTAAATATCTAGTTAGTTTTGTTTTAAGTCAGTCTGGTGACCTTAATTTGAGTTTTAATAGTCTCTATTTCCTACTGCTGGTTTCTTTTTGTATTAATAGTGTCCTGAGAGGCATCCATAGGTTAGTGGTTAAGGTCATGGTCTCTGGCATTAGCTGCCTCTGTTAAAATCTCAGTGCTGTGATCTTGTGCAGGTAACAACCCTCTGTGCAGATGTTGCCTCAGTACTCAGATAGGGTTCATAAGTGTACTTATATGATAGACTTGAGGGATCGATTAGATAATCTCATACATTTAAGGGTTTGGCACTGGACCTGACACATAGATACTAAGTTACTGTCAGTCTTCTATCATCATCATCATCGTCATATTTATCGTTGTCATTGTCATCACAACAGTGTTTTTCACACTAATATTTACTGTCCTATTGTTCCTCCCAGATAAGCACCCTCTTCTCACTTTTCACATTCTGTTTTCCTTCCTGGAAACAATCTGAACCATATTTTAGGTTATAATCTCGTACGTACTTGGCTTCTTCTCCCTACCCTTACCCAATTTGTAGAATTTTCTCTTTATTCTGTCACTCTTGCAGGTGAGATTTGAAATTTTTGGCAATTAATTTTTCTCCCCAAGGTAAATTTGAAGCTGTTTGTAATCATGTTTATTTTTTAAAGAATATTCATGGTTTTGATAGGAGATGCCACATTTTCAGTTCATTTTTTCTGTTCTATTCTGAAATCTATTAAAAAGGAAACTACTTTAAATATGTATTATTTCAAATTCAGTCTTTGCTACTGTAGCACATAAGACATGAGAATGTATGTTTTATATTTGTTCTTTTCTCACATCTACTAGGTATTCATATATTTGTTGATTTGATCTGTATTGTTCCTGATAATTGTTTTCATTAGTATAAATAAAAGAAGACTTTTCCAAGATATTTAAAAGTTATTTTATTGAAATAGTCACAAAACTGAGTGGGAAACTTCAAGACATTTTCTGACTTCATTTTATGCCAATTTTATTTTATAGGAATCAAGAACCCAGTATCTGTTGCGAACAGACTCCTGTGTGAAGGGCAGAAGGGCAAGCTCTCGGCCGGCCGAATTCCTCCCTGGTAACCACTTTGCTCTGCCTGACTTTTCCTGGGTCTTTGGTCTTGGGTGCATGCAGTGTTTGAAGGCTATTTTTATCCACAGAAGGCTGATGCTGTTGGTTACACACCAGCAGTAGCTTGCCTTTGAGAGGAAGACACACTTTGTTCTGTGATCTTGGAACATTTTATATACTTGATAGGACTCTGAATGGAATAGAATATTATGGGTTAAAGCAGAAAAGAGATCAGAGTTAATTTTTGGGTTTATAGTTGATTATAGAGATGTTTTTGCTATTACTAAGTGCTAAACTGGGGTCTTCTTATTATGAAACTTTAAAAGTATCCTACACATTTGAGTCCAGAGTCTGAACTAATTTTTAATTTTGGGAAGTTCTTAGAATAAAAGTAATTTTTCTCTTCTGGAAAAACACATTGTGATGCTCACATTAGTAAAATTACATCTTTTCTCCAGCATTAATGTACAATTTTCATTAAAAAAAATTTTTTTAACTTCTCAAATATTTGTAAAAGTAGAGAGAAGGTTGTAAAGAGCCCTCGTGAACTTGTCATCCAGCTCCAATTATTAACAGTGTTTTTGCCCTTCATCTATCACACGCATCTGTCTTTTTTCCTGTGGTATTTTAAAGCAAATCCTTGAAATCATATTTCAGCCTTAGTTTTATACATTTCTCTATATTTGCATGAACATAACTACCCTCATCTTAGCGTGCCTAACAATATTAACAAATATGCCTCAATACTGTCTCATATTCAGTATGTGTTTAGCATGCCTGGCCATGAAGTTTGCTTTAATGTTCTGTGTTGAAAGTTGTGACAACAGTACTATAGGAATCACTTTATTTGACTGTTATGATTTGAAGTCATAGAAAATAAATTAATATAGTTTTGAAACATCTTGAGACCTTTTACCTAAATATATTCAAGATATCCTTTTAATCATATACTTCTCAGGTATTTAATTGTGCTACTGGAGTGGTAAATTATAAAAAATTTTCAAAGAAATATTAACTTTTAACATTATATGTTTTCAATAAAGCAAGGATAAGGAAAAGCAAATCTGATTTCTTGAAATCATTTCTAATATGGTTTGGTTGATATCAGTAAGTTTACTTATAACTCTGAAAGTAGGAAAAGTGATTAAAAGATTCTTACATATACTTTTCTCATAATTTATGTTAAACCCATGCTATTTTGTTTAACTGGTATGAAGTCTACCAACCCAAAATTTACTAAGTGTTTGTTTAGTACATACACAAAGTCCTACTGTCCGTACCTTTTTAGGGGAATAATAGGTGCAAAGAGATTTTCTCTGGATTTATATTCTCCTCAATGTCGATTTAAATGTGACTGTTTTCTTTCACTCGTATTTGCTATTGTATGTAAAGCATAATTGACCCTAACTAAACCAATTTAGAAGACATGTGCCCAGTAGGGAGGAAACAATGCAGTTGTTTTAGTTGGCAAGAAAAATAACATAAACCCTGTGAAAAGTATTCTAAAGTTCACCTATAAACTCACCATAATCCCATTCTTACCACTCCTCATGGCATTTACCAAGCTGATTCTCAAATTTATATGGAGGAACAAGTGTACAACAATAGCCAAGACAATTTTGAAACAGGTCAAAGAGTTGGACTTAGCTATCATGATACTTTATAATGCTACAGTAATTAAAACAGGTTGATTTAGGTATGGGGATATATAAAAAGATCAGTAGGACAGAACTGAAAGTCCAGAAGTCCAGTATGTAAGTAAGTTTAGTCTATGATAACGATGTCATCTCAAAGCATTGTGGAGAAAAAGGGTGGTGTAGTGAATAAATTGTGTTGGGGCGATTGTCTACCTAGTGGAAAAACATTAATTTATATTCCTATGTCACACCATTAAAAAAAATAAAGTTCAAATATGAAAGTAAAAAAGCATAGTATAAAATTTTTAGGAAAAAATATGAGAGATTATGTTTATGACTGTGGGGTAGCAAAGACCTTATTAAGATTAAAAAACAAGGCTAAATATTGAAACATACAAAAGTGAAAATGTAGAACTGTTGTATAACTGAAGATACTATGATCTGCATTAAAAGACAGTATGGGGGCCAGCCCCCTGGCGTAGTGGTTAAGTGCGCGCGCTCCACTGCTGGTGGCCCGGGTTCGGATCCTGGGCGTGCACCGACTCACCGCTTGTCAGGCCATGCTGTTGGTGGCGTCCCACATAAAGTGGAGGAAGATCGGCACGGATGTTAGCTCAGGGCCAGTCTTCCTCAGCAAAAAGAGAAGGACTGGCAGATGTTAGCTCAGGGCTGATCCTCCTCACACACACACACACAAAAAAGACAGTATGGCCTTTGGAACTGAGAAAAATTATTTGCAGCATAGGTAGCAGACAAAAGATTAGTATTCATAGTGTTTAAGAACAATAAAATATCAGTAAGAAAAAGACAACCTAAATTGTAAAAATTGGTAAATGATGCAAATAGGCAATTTATAGAAAAGAAAATATTGATGGTGTATATATACACGAAAAGGTGCCCAATAATAATATTAATCAAGGACTTGTGAATTAAAGTGACAAGATAATATTTTCACCTTATTTTAAGTAGCAGAATTAATAAAGACTAATAACATCCAATATTGTTGACGGTATGTAAAAACAGGTTCTTTGTTCTACTAGTGGTGGGAATGTAAATTGGTATAGCCAGTTGAGAGAAATTTTGATATTATTTATTAATGTAAAAAATGGAAAATGCACATGCTGTGTGCTGCAGCAATTGTATCTTAAGACAGAACACCTTCATGTGTACACAGGAAGGGTTGTGCAGCACAAGAAGGTTACAGCAACGTTTCTTGTGGTTTATAAAACTGAAAACAACGTAAATGTTCATCAAAGGCTAAATAAACTGTTTTCTAGTCATTAAATACTCTGCAGCATTCAAAAAAGGAAGCATTTATATATAGTAACATGGATAAATGTCTACATTGTACAGTAAAAAAATCAAGTTGTTGAACGATATGTTCAGTTTAACTTATGTTTTCTTAAAAAATTACAAAATATGTGATGAATACCTGTTTCCCATCACTCAGGTTAGGAAATAAAACATTACTAAGAGATTTGAAGCTGCCTAGTTGTGCCCTTTCTAATGGCATCCTTGTCCTTCCTGCTGTCCCACACCCTTTCCCTGACCCCATCTCTGCCCCTGCCCCTAGGTAACAGTTGTCATCCAACGCCAATCCTCCTCTTTTTTGCTGAGGAAGATTGGCCCTGAGCTAACATCCATTCTCATCTTCCTCTACTTTAAATGGGACACCGCCACAGCATGGCTTGACAAGCGGTGTGTCGGTGCGCGCCCAGGCTCAGAACCAGTGAACCCCGGGCCGCCCAAGCGGAGTGCGTGCACTTAACCGCTGCACCACCGGGCAGGCCCCGAATTTAAGCTTTTCTTATTCCCATATATTCCTTCATGGTATTACAACATATACAATACCTAATGGTCCAAGGCTACATATATATGTACATAGATGTACAAAATGGGTCTGGAGAGAAGGTTACCAAAGTCACTGTGATTTCTTCTGGGAAAGAGGAAGGAGGGAACAAGATGAGGCAATTGTCAAAGGGGACATGTGCAATATTTTTATATTTTACAAAGAGAAAATATATGGGAGAGAGTAATGTCAACCTCTCCATTAAAATGATATCATATAGTGATGCTACCCTTGTCTGGAACTAGCTCTGTGATTTTCTCACCTACATAGTTCTTCCTCTTTATTCTTTGTTTTCAAAATTGTTTTGACTGTTTTAGGCATTTTGCATTTCCATATGAATTTTAGAATTAGCCTGTCAATTTCTATAAATAGCCCACTGGAATTTTAATTAGTATTGCAACATATCCATTTGTTAAAGTCTCAAACCGCTCTGAACAGTATTTTATAGTTTTCAGTGTACAGGTCTTGCACAGCTTTTATCAAATTTATACTTAAGTATTTCATTCTTTTGATGCTATGATGAATTGCATTTTAAAAAATGTTAATTTCCAAGTGTTCATTACCAACAACATAGAGAAATATGATTGATTTTATTATATCAATATTCTATCCTGGGAATTTCCTAAAAGCTTTCTCCGTGGCGAGTCTGAAGAGTGTTTGAGAAAAATTTCACTTGGTACTGCATTTAATGTTCTGGAAAATTATTTATTTTTTTGAACATGCTACTGTAGTTTTTAGCAAAAGCTCATGTAGCTTTACAGCATTTTTTTGTGTGTGTGTGTGAGGAAGATCAGCCCTGAGCTAACATCTGTCGCCAATCTCCTTTTTGCTGAGGAAGACTGGCTCTGGGCTAACATCCCTGCCCATCTTCCTCCACTTTATATGGGACGCCGCCACAGCATGGCTTGACAAGTGGTGCATTGGTGCGCGCCTGGGATCCGAACACCGGGCCGCCGAAGCAGAGCACGCGTATTTAACCACTACATCACCGGGCCGACCCCCTTTACAGCATTTTAAAATGACTTCAGAAGCAGTTTTTGTGTGATAATGAACTACTAGACAAGTAATTTTTGATAGTAAGGAAAGGTCAGATATTCAGTATTCTTATTTGTAAGATGGCATTCAAATATTCACCTTCCTGTACGTATTGTAAAATGCCTGAAGTGTTTTTAAAAACTTGCATAGCAGACAATGGCAAATTGATTTTATTTAGAATCAAACCTATGAATGATTAAGAAATGAAAAATAAAGCTAAGAATATTTTTTAAAATGCCACTGATTCCGGATACTGGGATTGAACCCAAAATGACCAATGGGCGTTCTGAGAATACTAGATTCAGCTCCAAACTTCTGTCCTGGTCGTTTAATTTACTACTTCAGCATCTCTTTTACATCTTTGCATGAAGAGAAATTATTTCTTATATCAAATTCTTTTTCTAGAAGAACGAAGTACTAAAAAATGGCATCAGGACAGCTCAACTTGCATCCAAATTTCTATTTCTGTTATTCTTCCATTTGAACTTTATGTGACAGCTTTTCTTTGCAGTGGTCTTCATTTGATACAAGAATAGGAGAAGCTGTTTTCTCTTTTCAGAATCCTTTAGAATTTTTGAAATATAGAAGTTTGAAGAAGTAAAGTTGTTTATTCTTATTGGCCCTTTCTCCTCTTTTTTCAACGCTCCCTCCATCCCCACCTTTATGTATGTTGGAAAACAGTTATTGGGCTTAACCATTTAGTTTCTCATTGGAACGATTTGGATATGTTTCTGAGTGTCTACTTGGATTTTGTTTTGCCAGTCTGTCACTGGTCTTCTTATTAACAATTGAATCTAAAGACTTCAATATGTATTACTTTGAGTTTTTAGTGTTGGAATGATTAGAACAGAAACAAAAAATAGGGAGCAGGAAAGTAATGATTAGGCACAAGTTCAAGGAATCCATTACTAGCTGGCTGAGATCTTTACGAAGTTGGCTATGGAAGGAGATGAAGTGATTGATTATTATGGTAACTGCTTGCTATTACTGTGTTGGGAATTGAGTGGTTAATTATCCTGCATGCTATTTGAAATCTTTGAAAATAAGTCTTTTACAGTTAGCTAACAGTATCCTTTTATTCACTTTGTTATGTTAAATCTTCCAGTTGAGGGCTTAAAAAATTACTTTTGGGACACACCACGGTACTTTACTTACTACACTAAAAGTGGTTCTGAGGATCATGAATGCATTTTTGTTGCGTCAAGGCTTAGAAATGTAATCACATCTCATTGTGTTTGGGCATCTCTAGATGTACTCACTCATTTTGGGTAGATCCAGGTGTTCTACTAGGCAAGAATACCAAGTCTGAAGACATTTACTTAGACTTCAACTCTTCAACTGATTAACTAGATCTTGTTCTGACGTAAACTGAGAACCATGTTGATCCAAAAATCTTAATATTTTCCACTAGGAAGTCAATTATTTTTCCTTCTTCTTATGCTGGATTTGCCAATTTTTACTTGTTAGTTATTGCAAATGAAATTGTACCATTTCCAATTGTAAAATTTCTAACTGGGGGAAAGATTTAAAAGAATTTTTCGGCCCGTATAGCCATATTATAATTTTGAGGTAAATCTAGAGTTATATCTATTTGCAATACTTTTTTCAATTGCCTTACTATAATTAATTATATTACTTTATTAAATATGTAGGAAAAGATGACACTGAATTTTTAAAAGAATAATTTTTCTGTTGTTAGCTTTTTAGTTGGAGAAGGAGCCTACAGATGGGCAGTAGATCATGGAATACCCTCTTGCCCTCCTAACATCATGACCACAAGTGAGTAAAAACCTTCCAAAGTTAAACTATATTAGCATGTATACCTGAAAGTGTTACGTTGCTTTTGATCCATATAGTACCAATATTTAAGAAAGAAAACTTATATGTTGAAATATTTATAGTTAAAAGGTACATAGAAAGTTACTTGATTTTAAGCCACCTTTATATTCCTGAGGTCCTCCCTTGTTTTCTCATGCTTTTATGGAAGTATTGCTAAAGGATCCAAAATGTTACTTAAAATAATTACTACTAATAAAATCGTAATACTGCTCCCTCAGAGAGACGGAAGAAAACAGAGGTCAGCATTTAACTGTCCTTGAGCTGAAGAAGGCCTTCCTGGGTAGCAAGTGCAAGAGAAGGAAAAACGAAAGTGTGACTACAGAAGAGTTAAGACTGAAAAAACACTTATCATAAATATGACAAAGGGATACATATCCTTAATCTATGAAGAGGTTTATCAAATTAAAAATCACACAAATACGTGTAATACCCCAATAGAAAAATGGTCAAAAGTCACAAATAGATAATATAACATAGCTAATAGGGAAATTCAAATTAAAATTAGTACGTGTTAAATTGGTTCCCTCTTAATTTGTGGAAGAGTTAAAAAATATTATATTACCGCTGGTAAGTGTGTGGTGAAATGAACATAATGCATTGTAGATACAAATGTAAATTGGTAGAAAAATTGGGGAACAGCTAAATAGTATAGATCAAAAGCCTTAAACTTATTCTGCTTCTAGGAGCTTGTCATTAAAGATATAGACAAAGATTTATATAGAAGGGTGCTCATTATTAAGAAGAGCAAAAAAATTTGAAAAAATCTTATGTTCAACACAGAGGAATATGAGTAAATAAATTATCGTAATCTTATAATGAAATATTATGAAATAACTAGAAATTGTTATCAAGACTGATATCTAATAATGATAAAATCTGACTGAAAAAAGTGAAAAATGAGTTATAAATATGTATATATGTGTATATGTGTGTTTTATATGTCTATTTAAAGAAGTCATGGCTACATATTTATAAAAAGACAAATATTAGCAACATAAACTATTTTTTTTTTTTTTTTTGGTGAGGAAGAGTGGCCCTGAGCTAACATCTGTTGCCAATCTTCCTCTTTTTGCTTGAGGAAGATTGTTGCTGAGCTAATATCTGTGCCAGTCGTCCTCTATTTTGTATGTGGGACACTACCACAGCATGGCTTGATGAGTGGTGTGTAGGTCCGTGCCCAGGATTCAAACCTGCAAACCCCAGACCACTGAAGTGGAGCACGTGAACTTAACCACTATGCCACCGGGCTGGCCCCTATATACTACTTTTTTTAAGTTAAATTTTTATTTTTTATCAAAGTAATCTATGAATATAATTTAAATAATCAAATGAAAAAGGAGGAATCATTAACTCCAAGGAAACCAAGTTGTATAAAAAAGAAATGATTATCTATCATAGCAAGTATAAATAAGGATCAGCTCTTAATAATAATAATAATAATATATTCAAGATGAATATTTATGTAGCTGAAAGTTTTAATATAGGGTGGCTGGAGGGAAGAGAAATCTATGTATGGCAGGGATGCAGGGAGTATCAGAATTCTAAATTCTCATAGTCCTCATCACTAATTCTGCCTTAAAATCTTCCCAATGAAACTTATTGTCGAGTTCTTATATCAGGCAAACAAATCAGATCATTTGCCAATTCCATTTTGTTTTTCCTTGGAGCCACGCCACCTGGCATCTTGAAGTCTAGAGTGGGTACTCACTAGGCCTGCTGTGTAGCTGTCATCCCTGGTCTTTACCTCACCATCTCTTTGGGATTCCCTTTTCCTCTCTCCAATATCAAATTCTGTATTTTCTGAATCTCATGTGTTTTTCTTTCTTGTTTTACTCCGTCATTTGGAACCTGTAAGACTGGAAATTGATTTCCCTTAGGTTTTTGAAGATATTGCTCTCTTCTAGTTTCCAGTCTTGCTGTTATGTGATCTGTTGACATTTTGATTCCCAGTTCTTTGTGGTGTATTTTTCTCTTTGGAAGGAAGTTCTTAATTCCCACGTTCTTATTGTCACAATGAAGCATCTTGGGATGGATCTTTTTGTATTCGTTAATGCTGAGTACTCATTTTGGACTTTCAATCTGGAAATTCATGTACTTGAGTTTTGGGGACATTAAAAAAATTTGAGTAATACTCTCTTTTCCTACCTTTCCTCTATTTTGTTTTTCTAATTTCTGTGAATTAGGTGTTCGATCTTGTGCTCCAATCCTTTGTATCTTTTTCAAAAATTATTTTTTGTCCTTTTAAAAATCTCTATCTTTTGTCCTACTGTCTGGGAAGTTTCTTCAGTTTGATCTCCCAAACCTTATACTTCTAATGAATTTATAATTTTGGTTTTCATATTTTTAATTTCTAGAGATTCATCTGTGATTAATACTTTTAAAACATGGTGTCCTTTTTTTGTTTCATGAACTCAGTATTTTCACTTATCTCTGTTAGGATATTGTGGTTTACGATTTGTTCTTATCTGCTGTTTCTGCTGCCTCTGTCTTACTTTTTGTTTGTTTCAGACCTTAATACATGTTAGCAAATTTTGACTGTGTAGTGACCCTCTGCTGTTTTCATATTTGTGAGTGAGGCACTTAACAGCCATTTGGAAGCCTTGTGTGTGAGGGCGGGTCTGGTGGACATCAGGGGGAGTGGTATGATCAGGCGTTTTCATTGGGGGAACT